AGCGCCGCATTGATGATTGGCTGCTAGTTCCTACCATCGCAGAATCCTTTGGGCACTGGCGGGGKGGGAATCTTCTCGTAGACTCTAGGCAATAGGCTCCAACTCGCCTCTATCCCTTGTTGTCTTAATTGATCCCTCTCTACTTCGACACACCTCGCAATAACATCCCAGTTGGTAAAGAAACTCGGATCCCGATCAGTCCCTTCTAGGATGTATGGTCGAATATCATAATCATCAGTGTCAAGGAATCTAGAGACAAGCACATGCACAGTCGTCGTACTTTTTACACAAGTAATGCATTTGACAAACATATAAGGGAAGGCACCACCGCAGGTGACACGAGTTAGAGCTTCTAGGACATTATACTCTTCAGTCATCATCTGGTTTCTGACTTATGGACTTGTCAAGCGAAGGGTCCAGAAGACAAATTCCAAACCCTTGCTTGCAGGTAGTCACTTCAGATAGACTTCTGCAAGAGACCCCTCCTCTCGAGGCTCCTCTAGCCGAATAGTCTTTCTGACATGAGCCAGACCTTGTACGAAATATGCTAGACTGTTGCCCAGTCACCGAATATTGTGACCAAGGTCCGCTCCCAGGAACTCAAAATCTTTGAGTCCCCGGCAACGGCGCCATTTTTGTCGCGCCCCCACCGTTCCAGGGCCTGGTTCAATGTCCCTCCCCGGACCGAGTGCGGTGGGTTGGTGGACTGGCAGGCTGTCACGCAGGATTTTGGAAAGTTTTAGAAAAATTAGAAGTGAATTCACAAGCAGCCTTTGTCACACACTCGAGTAGTCAGGGTTATCCCTCTTGCCAGCGGCGACACGGCTTAGAGTGAGGCGTTCGGTTTTATCGCTTGCACCTGAGCTCGTATAAAGGTTAGACTCAAGGTTACCGGAGTCCCTATTATCCAAGAGTCCTTCAAGTAGCCTTGAATGTAACCTGTTATGATAAGGAGTGATAAATAACTTGTTATCTCATGCATAAACATTTCATGCATTATAGGACATGCATCATAAATCAAAGGACACTGAGAGGACGAAAAGACCAGAAACCAGACTCTGCAAGAGCATGACCAGAGACACGAGACTGAAGAGTAGTACACAGAGAATGCAGGAAGCAGCCATAGGAGGGACTGCAGTCACTGATAAATCATAATAATGTCATAATACATCTCAGTGACTAAAAGATACGAGCCTCAATCGATAACGACGAGTGGTACCCCCTCATGACTGTCTGGGACTCCGTATCTGGTACACGCTGGTCCTCCTCATCATTGAGAACCTGAGTGGCTATCGACTCTGGGACCACATAGCTGATGTCAAAAGATGTCGCAGGATCGATCTTGTTGATATATGCCATACATCTCGCCATCTCCTCATCCGCAACACTCCGGAGGTACAACTCCTCAGCGAGGGAAATGTTGTCAGTGGCACCAATCAGGATCTCAATCCGTCCCTTGTCGTAAATGTAATCATACGAAACCTCCAGAAAACGGTCTCCATAGAGTGGCTTCCGAAAAGCCTGTATGACGAAGTCTTCTCCCACCAAATGACTGTAGCCATCCCCAAGATATGGGACTGGTCCCTTCCCCCTTGAAGGGCCGGCTACCTCCTCTCACTTGGGTCCTCCTGACATGTAATGCCTGAATCAATCACCCTCAAGCAGGTATCGTGCCAAGAGGTAAGCAACCCGTCGTAAGGCTGCCTTCCGCCTGCGTCTCACTCCGGTGACCAATGTCATAAGATACCCTGGATCTGCTCCAACTCAAGCGAGCTCAATCCCTGTGAAAATCCTAGTAAAAATAGTCCCCCAAGTCAACGTCGCTCACGCAGCAAGGCTCTTGGTCTGACTCGTCTGTCTCTGACCTCTGTAAACAGGTGGTAAAAGGTATTCCGAATCTGGCCACCTCGCTTCTTATCTTTCTGTCCTGGTGCCTCTTTTCCTTGCTGCCACCTCTCCTCAGCGGTTTTGGATTACAGCCATTAAAGTCAAAGAGAGCACCACCTTGTGCAAAGGGGACCTGGGGAAACACCACATGTAACTAGTGCTCCCTCCAGTAACTCTCCCTGCGGAAGATATAGTGAGCAATCCGGTCATAGGTGGCCCCCTTTATTCCCTGCCCAGCATCTCTCACGTGATAAGTGATCACCAACGTGTATCTCGATGTGGGAGACTCATTGGCCCTAATGATGAAGCTCTGATGTCCAATGTGTCGATAACAGAACTTCTCAACTAGCTTACCCCATGTAGGGGTCATCTCATGTTGAGGAGCTAGCTTGACCAATCTGCAAAGTATGGTAGAATGCTCCTGACAAGTGGTTACACCAAACAATGGTGTCCTGGTGATAAAGGGGGGTATAAGCGACTCAGGAAAATAGCCCAACTCGATGGGATCAGAGAGGACAACACCTCAATAGACCCTCTAGCCAAACTGATTGGCAACCAACCCAATATAGGGGCCCGCCTGAATGGGCCCGCCTGAACAGCAATCAACTCAGTATAGGGGCCCGCCTGAATGGGCCCGGCTGAACAGCAACAACTTGATATAGGGGCCCGCCTGAATGGGCCCGCCTGAACAGCAACAACTCGATATAGGGGCCCGCCTGATTGGGCCCGGCTGAACAGCCGATACAAGGGCCCGCCCGAATGGGCCCGACTGAACAACAACAACTCGGTACAAGGGCCCGCCTGAATGGGCCCGACTGAACAGCAACTCAGCAGCTCAGCATAACAACGTCATAAGAGTATCTCTGCAGCGAGTGGACTAGAATATGAGGACTGGGACTGCCAGTATTGTCACTGTAGAGGACTGATCATCAAGGTGTTATCTATGCAGGGGCCAGTTGCAAAGTACTGCGTGTGCAAACTGGACTGCGCTGATACCGTATGTGCAGGAAAAATACCGTCTGCACAGGGACTGATTGTCCATGTAGAGACTGATCGGCAAGAAATCAAATCAGTGGGAGTTGGGGCTAATCATATCATTAGAGACATCCTGTCATGTCCTTAAGACTAATCACACTAGCAGGGGCGTGCGTCCCCAACCATCATACCGGCGGGACGTGTGTTCTAGAGTCATCAAATCGTCAGAGCGCACACTCATATAGCCTACCCAAGCCTGGGCGCAGTCATGTAACGATACCGAGTGTGGGCGTGCATGGGCGCACACTCAAAAGACAATACCAAGCTTGGGCGCGCAGGGGCGCGCACTCAAATCACAGTTCCAGGCTTGGGCGCGCATGGGCACGCACTCAAATGGCGAGTTCAAGCTTGGGTACGCATGAGCGCACACTCAAATGGCAATGCCGAGCATAGGCGCGCGTGGGCGCGCACTCAAATAGCAATACTGATCAAGGGCGCACGTGAGCGCATACTCAAATGGCAATGCCGAGCATAGGTGCGCATGGGCGCACGCTCAAATGACACTGCTCAGCTTGGGCGTGCATGGGCGCGCACTTAAATAACACTATCAAGTTTGGGCGCGCATGGACGCGCACTCAAATAGTAGTACTGAGACCGGGCGCGCACTCAAACAGTCAAATTGAGACTGGGCGCGCACTCACACAGCCAAATTGAGACTGGGCGCGTACTCAAACAGCCAATCAGAGACTGGGCGCGCACTCGAACGGCCAAGCTAATCATGGACGCGCATGGGCGCATGCCCAAATAGCAATGTGGAGCCTAGACGCGGAGAGGCGCGCACTTTAGTAGCAATTCCGCGCTAGGGCGCGCCTGGGCGCGCACTCAAGTGGCAATATCCGGTCTGGGCGCGCATGGGCGCATTCTAATAACTGTTCCAGACTTGGGCGCGCATGGGCGCGCACTCAAATAGCAATATCCAGCACAAGCGCACATGGGCGCGCAGTCAAATGGTAGTATCGAGCGTGGGCGCGCACTCTCACAGCAAAGCCAAGCGTGGACACGCATGGGCACACACTTTAACAGCAATGCCAAGCTTGGGCGCGCATGGGCGAGCACTTAGATAATAATATCAAGCTTGGGCGCGCATGGGCGCGCACTTAGATAATAATATCAAGCTTGGGCGCGCATGGGCGCGCACTCAGATAACAATATCAAGGTTGGGCGCGCATGGGCATGCACTCTAATAATAATATAAAGCTTGGGCCCTCATGGGCGTGCACTCAGATAACAATATCAAGCTTGGGCGGGCATGGGCGCTCGCTCAAATAAAACTCAAGTGCACGAGTTCGAAATCGGCAAGGTCAATTGCGAAGTGCGGATGAGCACTCAGTTCCAAATTGGTGGTGCCCGCTGCAAGATACAGACTCAAAATCGATAATGTCAACGGTGGACTATGTGTCGGCGCACAGTCTCGAAATCGGTAATGCCCGCTGCAAAGTACATATTCAAAGTCGACAATCTCAACTGCGGAGTGTGCATCGGCGCACAATCTCAAAATCGATGGGTCCCTCAATGGAGCGTGCACTGGCACACAGTCAAAGTCTGCAATTTTCTCAGGAGGGTGTGTATGCTGACGCACTGGCTCAGGACCGGCGAAGCAAAACCCCCTAGATTGAGTGCTAATTAGCGGACTGGCTCGTGATCATAGCAATGCAGTTCCACCTGATCATAGCAATGCAGTTCCACGGTTATCACGGCAGTATTCACAGTTAGAGTGTGCACTGACATTCTGTTTCATGATTATCAAGACAAAGATCACTGGTAAGCAGGTTTCAGAATTGATCTTCAGACGTAAGTGCACTGCTCCCAAGTTCAAAATCGGCCCTCAGATATGATGCGCATGAGCGCACTGTACAGAATCAGCCCTCAAGCATGGTGTACGTGGGTACACAATTTAGAATTAGCCCTCAATCATGGCGTGCGTGGGCACACAACTCAGAATCAGCCCTCAATCAAGGTGTGTGTGGGCACTCGATTCGGAATCAGCCCTCAATCATGGCATGCATGGGCACTCAATTCAGAATCAGCCCTCAATCATGAAAGTCGATTTTGCAGATTGAGTGTGTGCCGTCACACAGATTCAAGTTCGTCAAGGCAGTTCCACAAGTCGAGTGCACAGTGTCGCTCATACTCAAAGCCGAGTGTGAGTGCGCACAGTCGCACCTATTCAAGATCATCAATGTAATTCCACAGACTGAAGGCGCAATGTAGCACTTACTCGAAGTCGAGTTTGAGTGCGCACAGTCGCATTTGGTCATCAATGGATTCAATGCAGCCCCTACGGACTGAATGTGCAACGTCACACTAGCTCAAAGCCGAGTTTGGGTGTGCATAGACACATTAAATCATTAACGTAGTCCCTACGGACTGGGTGTTCAATGTCGCACTCACTCGAAGCCGAGTTTGAGTGTGCACAGTCACACTAAATCAGAAATGCAGTCCCTACGGACTGGGTGTGCAATGTCCCACTCACGCGAAGCCGAATTTGAGTGTGGACAGTCACACTAAATCATTATTATAAGGCTACCGGATTAAGTGCCTGTTGGCATGCTGATTCACGATCCTCAAAGGGAAAATCACAGATTAAGTGCCTATTGGCACGCTGGTTCAAAACCATCAAAAGGGAAGCTCACAGATCAAGTGCCTATTGGCACGCTGGTTCGTGGTCATCAGAGGAGACTCATGGATTAAGTGCCTATCGGCACGGTGGCTCACTGTCAGCCCTCAAGTATAATGTGCATGGGTGCGGAGTTCTGGATCAATCTTCAAATACAATGAATATGGACGCCCAGCGTCGTGGGCTCACAGTATTATCGACCCTCAAGTACAGTGAGCATGGGCGCTTGCACAACAGGCGGCTAGCTGAACCGGAGTGAGCGGAAGAGGGAGAGGGAGAAGGTGAGCCGAGGGAGCAGAGGGAGAAGGGGGACAGAAGGACATAGAGGGGGCCGCCGTACTTTCCGAACAACCCCGCCCGTTTACCTCCTTCTTGTCTGCCTTGGCCTCGCTCCTTCTCCTGACTACTCCGGCGCAGCAGCTCCAGTCCCTCTTCCTTGCCGTCCTGCCAGCGTCTCCGCATCCCGCAAATGAGCACCTCCATGCTGTTCCGCCAACGCTTCCACGTTCCCGCAGGTGAGGTTTTTTTCTTCCAAGTGGCACGACCTCTCTTTTATAGTGGAGAGGCCAGGTGGTAGGGCCCAAGTGCAGCAGTCCTAAGGCTAAAAATAGCACAGGCCTGTGCTAAAATTAACACAAGCCTGCGCTAAAATTAGCGCGGGACTGGGACAGTCCCGACTTTGGGACACGAACAGTCAGTCCCGTGCTAAAAATAGCACGGGCAAGCGCTAAATATAGCGCTGGCCTGTGCTAAAATTAGTGCGGGACTGCGCTAAAATTAGCGCGGGACTGGGACAGTCCCGACTTTGGGACACGAACAGTCAGTCCGGTGTTAAAAATAGCATGGGCCCGCGCTAGATATTGCGCGGGCCTGTGCTAAAATTAGCGAGGGACAGCGCTAAAATTAGCGAGGGGCTTGGGATAAAATAGTGCGGGCCTGCACTATATTTAGCTCGAGCCTACGCTAAAAATAACCCAGGCCTGTGCTAAAAATAGCGTGGCCTATGCTAAAAATAGCACGGACCAGTACTAATAATTAGTGTCGGGCTTAAATTGGCCTGACTTTGGAATACTAAGGGTCAGCCTTGTTTTGAAAACAAAAACACCCCTCTTAATCATAATAAGGGCCCAATCCCGTATTCCCCTTGACCATTTCGGACTGTACTCTTCCCGACGCGGTAAGTCCGGTCCCAAGTGGTCAATTCTCACTAACCCTTGGTCCATTTTCAGTGCTATTCGGACCGGGCCCTACTAATCCGGCCCTTGCAGACGAGACGGTTCTCCCCAAAAGTCGTGATTCGATATCCATGGGGCTGTACCGTCATGCCATCTTGCACGCTTACTGGACCCAAGGGCCAAACCAGCGTGTCAACATTCTGCTGATTGTGACCACATGCAACCTTACATCGAGGAGGCGGAGCGCGACGAGTCAACTATACGTTGACGCGGCGCGCCGCTCTCCGACACCGAGCGCGTGCCGATTTTTGTTGGCTGTGAGATCTCATCTCACGGTTGCCGTTTACCGTCTCCGCTTGCCCTATGCCGAAATCACATTTTTCTAGCCTTTTGGGTTTGTCGTGGCTCATTTTCCCTTAGCCTAGGCATCCTTATGCAGTCCGTTATCTCTCGGACCGCATTCATGGTCATTTTCCTAGTCCCACAGCCCCACAACTTGCCCCATGCTAAAAGAAAATGAAGTGTTTGATTCCCAAGTGCATCCGAGTTCAATATTGACTCCCGATCCGCCAAAAGCATGTGTTTGGCCTCCCCCATGCAGTCCGTTGCAACTCGGACTGCAATAGGGGCCAATTCCCTACCCCCAATGCCCCACAACTAGCCCCAAATTGAAAGAAAAAGAAACGGCCAACTTCCAAGTGCATCCGGTCCTCATTTTGGCTCCCGGTGCACCTAAAACATGTGTTTGGCCTCTCCCATGTAATCTGTTATTTTTCGGTTGCATGGGGCCTTGTTTTTTCGTGATTTTGTCTGCAAAGTCAAGAAAAAACCAAGATAGTTTGTAACCGATATATGCCAGAATGAATCTGGTCACAAAGGGATCCCCTAGGTGACCGTTTTTGGCTGTTAGTGCCCTTTTGACTTTTTCCTTCTCTTTTTTTTTTTTCTTTTTTTTTCTTTTTTTTTCTTTTCTCCACTTGTGGACAGTAGGGACTTGTCAGTCCCTCCTTGCTGCAGTCCCAATTGACGGCCAACTTACTCATCCTCTCTCACTTCCCATTTTTTTTTTTTTTTTTCTTTTTCTTTTTGCATGCCWAGTGTCAACTAGCCGTTAAGGCCCTTTTCTAGGTTCCTCCTCTTAGTTTTGGCCCTTCCCATGCCCAAGGGCCAGTCCGTTATTTCTCAGACTGCACTTGTGGCCTTTCCATGCCCATGGGAGCCTCCGTTTGCCTCTATCTCTTCCAAACGGTAGGCCCCCATATTCCTATTTTCTCCGGGAGGCCTATTTTTCTCATGGAGTCCCTTTTGGCTCCATTTTCTCGGGGGAGCCTAATCCGAGATTTTCCGGATTGCTCCCATGCCTCTACCTTCACGTTTTCTCTGCTTTTCTTTTTCTTTTGGCCATCCCGCTTGTTCCCACTAACGCTTATGCTAGTGGTGCTCGTATTCTTGGCCGTCAAGATCCTTGATCTTGACGATGCATCTTTCTTTAATTATTTGGGCCTCACGGCATGCCTCAATTTTCCCTTGGGCTATCACAAGTCCTCGCCGCTTTCTCGCGCTGGTCTCCGGCACTAGTCCCGCTAGTGGCTCCGCCGGTACTCGTCCTGCCGGTGGTCCCGCCGGTACTTGTCCCGCTAGTGGTCCCGCCGGTACTTATCCCGCTAGTGGCCCCGGGTTCTTCTAACATTTTTCCGCCCTATGGCGGCCTCCCTCCCTTTGTCTTTTTCATGTCCCTTGCGCCGCTCTCCCCAGATGCGGGTTTTGACTTGGCTCGTGGCCCCTTGGCCTTCTCGACTTTGCGTCCCGATGACCCTCTCAGCCCGGGCTACGACTTTGCGCGTTGGCACCTCTCTTACTGTTTTCTCTTCCCCTTCTTCTCCCTCGCGGCGCGCCCCGCATGACATTACTTTTTCCGGCGGTCCTTCTCCTTTTCGGGGGAACGGCTGCCTTTGCTATTTTCTTGCGGTCTTTTGCCGCTCGTCTTTCCGCTAATCCTTCCTTAGCCCCGTGGCTCCGGCGACCTGGGCAACCTCCCCGTCTCCCAGCGCCAATACTTAGCATTCTCTATCCTTCTTGCCTCCGGTTTTCTATGCAGTGCACAATTCTGCGGTATATCGCCTCTCGACGGGCAAGACTTATCTCGGGACTCACCGGTCCCGACAGCGGCTCACGTAACGCTTCTATTCTGTTCAACTTAGGATAATTTTTTGTCACTTGCAAAAATCAGAGCGGATACCCTTGTAAGGGTATTGGTGCTGACAACGCTTATCTCCACTCTTGCTTAATCAGATACCATTATCCACCAAATCATTCACGTTTTATTATACCACTCTGATCAAAATAAAAATTATTGTTTTTGCCTGGATCATCAGCTTGCCTCTAACCTGGGTTTTATTTCTTAAGGATCCCCGTACGCAACGAGATCCCCGATAACGGGGCCACCTGTCAAACGCAAAGGTCCCGCAAGGGGACCCTCCCTTTTCTCTCAACGCACAATCCGTTTTACACCTACGCACGGTCACAGTAGACAGCGCGGACGCTTAATATATATATACATATATATATATATATATATATATATCGTCACAACCAGAACTGCCCGGTAAACCGTAGGCAGAGAGAGAGAAGAGGACAACAAACGAGGGGCTGTGACAAACTGTTTCGTCGGAGTTTCACCGACTCATCAGGAGGCTGATATATATATATATATATATCACAGCCCTTCGTTTGTTGTCCTCTTCTCTCTCTCTGCCTACGGTTCACCGGGCAGTTCTGTTTGTGATGATATATATATATATGCCTACGGTTTTACCGGGC